TCCTGTGTCAGTACTCCCCACTCACCCGGATTCCAAGAGAAGTCCTCTTTGAGTAAGTCTTTCCATCCATCCGGGATACTATTAATCACTGTTTGCAGGTTTTCATCTCTGTAGTGGCAGCCCTTCAGGTGTGATTTAATTGTTTCCTCGTCAATCCAGTCCTTTCTCTTCATCCCAGATGTGACTGACCCTCCATACTCTGTGCTTGATCCATGAGAGCCATTGCTGGCCGCTTGAAAGTGAGAGTGAGTGATCGCTTGCGTCTCTCACACACGGGTTCCCAAACAGGGGTTGACGCAAGACTTCCTCCTTCGATTTGGGTTTCTTGTTTTTTTCGGGCATAATTTCCCTCCATATGTGAATAAGAGAAGTCCAATAAGGAGTAGGGGGCTGTGAGTCGTTCAGTGAGGTGTTTGCTGGCCTTCTCCTGCGGCCAGTTTTCGGGGTCCACTCCTTGTTCATTACTTAGAAGTTAGAATAGGCCTGCCATGTTTGGTTGGAATGGGTCTCATTGCAAAATTGAAAATGATTTTTTTTTTTTTTTGTAAATTTTTTTGACTTTTTTTTTTCTGTCTGCCGCACCTAGCTTTTCTGCTCTGCACTGTGCACTGGAGCACACGTGCTCATGTGCATGCACGGTTTGAACTGTTATATAAATACCAAAATTGCCAAGCAGTACATAGTCAAAATGAAGCATGGATACCAAAGAGGCAGATACAGATATAGGGGAGCTGTGTTGTACTCTTGCGTTTAGGCTGCACCTGCTATACTCAGGTATAGGGTACTCTTGACAAGCCTGGGTACGATTAGGGACTTTCCCGACAAGGGTACAGCCAAGGTAGTATTCATAAAGAGTAATAGGTAGAGTCTAGACTCATTAGCCTGGGGTACTATGCACCATCCGGGGTAGGGCTCTGCCCTCAGTCTATCGATGGACTGGGTAGGACAGGGAGGGGTTAAGGCACTTACGATACCTGGGGGCTGAGCTTCAAGGCAAAATCTGAAGGAACATGAGGGATGGGCTTCAAGGAAGGAGGGTCCTGTAGAATGAACCAAATGGGGGACTAAATGGCTAGCCGGCCCAGGACTTTACTCTACCTCAAGGTGGGGGATATCGGGTAGGAGGGAGGGCAAAATCGCATCAAGTAGAAAGGGTAGTAGGTTGCCCATAACGTGCTTGATGGAACAGGGGGGGCACCTGTAGAGGTTAGAGCCGACTCGTATCAGGGGCATCCTGTTGACTGGTCGTTGCCAGTATTCCAAGGTGTCGTAATATAGTGTTGGGGGGTGGGTGCTTCCGGTAGGCGTTAGTAGGCACAGCTTGGAATAGGACTTGCACATAGTTAGGAGAAAAATGATGTCCCATAGGACATACACTTTGCCATGGTGATCCATTTAGAAAGGGTAGTAGGTTGCCCAGTGCGTGCTTGATGGAACAGGGGGGGGACCTGTAGGGGTTAGAGCCGACTCGTATCAGGGGCATCCTGATGACTTCTCGTCGCCAGTATTCCAAGCTGTTGTAATATAGTGCCCGGGGGTGGGTACTTCCGGTAGGCATTAGTAGGCACAGCTTGGAATAGGACTTACACATAGTTAGGAGAAAAATGATGATGCACTTTGGCATGGCGATCCATTCGGACAACCAAATGGCTAAGTTCCAAAGAACCCCGACCTCTACAGCAACCTGAATGAAGCGTGGGAGGCTTCAACCGTAATGCAGTCTACATTGGGACAAAATTTAAGGAATTCCATATTCAGGGACCAGGCAGTTAGTGGGACAGGGGCAGAGCGGGGCTATATCCTTCCCAGTGGAAAGCAATCAATGCCTGTGTATCTGGGTCCCTCGGCCATAACGGAGGGAAGCATGGCGTGAGTCATTTTATGTTAGGGACACTTGGCCCGGTTTCCAGTATTCTTCTTCTTCTTCTTCTTCTTCTTCTTCTTCTGCTGCTGCTGCTGCTTCTGCTTCTGCTTCTGCTTCTGCTGCTGCTGCTGCTTCTCTTTTTGCTTCTGCTTCTGCTTCTTCCTCTTGTAAATTTTGACAATAATGCTGCAATTGTGTTTCTGTTCTTAAGGTCCAGGAAGTGATGAAATCCTGAAGTTAGAGGAGAGGTCAGCCACCTTGTTAACATCTGCAGCAGCCACAATGGCAGCAGCAGCTTCTGCTGGCGAAGGAGAAGGAGCAGGAGGAGCAGGAGGAGCAAGAGGAGCAGGAGGAGCAGGAGGAGCAGGAGGAGCAGGAGGAGCAGGAGGGCACGAGACATCGTTTGCAAGTGGGCTTGCAAAGGAGGGTTCTGGGACATACCCCCCTGCCCATGGCAACATAACTACAGCACCTCTGACAGCCAGCTCTTTCAAGGGCAATCTTCGTCCACTGTCGAGAAAGCGAGTTCCATGGACTGCTCAGGCTAAGCAGATGCTAGAACGGGATTTCACCTTCTGGAATGGAGGATGGTCATCAAGGCGGGAACTGGAAGCATTACTGGCCATCCAGAAAGCCAAAGACAAGAAAGGTGGTGCTGTTTACAGGCATCGTTACAGAGCAAAGGACTTTCTATTTGTGAAAAAACGACCTTTATCGCATGATCAACAGTATGACCATGCTGACAAGTACTCAGGCAATGGGAATGAAGCAAAGGTAGTGAAAGCCACGACCAGTGATGACACATCCCCAAGGACTCATGAATCCCGGCAGGTTGCTGCAGCAAGAGCAGAAGCAGCTACGAGAGGGGCCACGAGGGAGCAAGGAGAAGGTACCCATGTCCCATATGGTCCTGAACAACTGGGACATCAGCAGAACGGGTGGAGTGAGAAAGATCAATTAAGTATGACATCCGACCTCTGGAGAAGCAACGATGGTAAGCACAGATCCCCATCTCTTAATTCACAGGTATCGTTAATGGTTGACCAGAATGGTGCAGCCATGCCCAGCATCTCTCAAGTGGGATCAGGTAGTTGGGATGGAAGAGGCGACCTCAGCTGGAGTGGAGCAGGTCAAATCCAGGAAGACAAAGAAGGCAGGGAAAGCTCCTTGTTCTCTATCCCGCTTTCTCTCAAGGAAGAACTCGAATCAGTCCAGAGGAGCCATTCCTCATTGCCTTGGTCAGCTGGCCCTACTGTCCATAACACGATGCAAGGAGATCCTACCATCACAGTCCCTCGTCAAGACTCCTTCGGGGGAGATGACGACAGAAGAAACCATCAGGATAATAATGCTGTCCAAAATGTGTATCAGGATCAGAACAATGTCCTAAATGTGTCTCCTCTTCCCCCTGGCGATCATCCGTCCAGAGAGTTACTCACCACTTCCGCCAAAGACAACAGCCCCAAGACAGGAGGTGATCTTGACAGCAGGATGGCTGTAGATGCCAATGCAACAGAGATTGGGCAGCCAGCGCCTGTACCTCCTGAAGGAGGCATATGGGCAATGAATCGCGATGGGCATGAAATCCTTACCGGCGTCGCTTCCAGCAGTCAGGGCATAAAGCAGAGCCCAGGTGTTGAGAGTGTTGATGGTGGCCACATGACGCGGAAAGTTATCCCTGGCTCAAGCTGGTTGGCAAGCAATGGAGATGTGGGTGAGGGCAAGCGGAATTCGGGCAAAGATGGTGGGCTTCAGACAACAACAGGAAGCGCTGCCGACCCAACAGGAAGGAGAAAGGTCAGCAGGACATCTGTTCCGACGTCTGCCCCAGCAAGGTCGACCATAGGGCCTTTGTTCCCGGGGAATTCGAAAGTCATAATAAGGAACCTCTTTAAGGGGTCTTGTAGGGGTATGATGGCCTGGCAAAGCCGTGCACAGAGCCTTGATGGCAGGGGGGAGAGACACCCTATGGATGGATCATTCAGACTAACGCCCGAGGTTGGTGCCACCGGTCCATTGATGGAGGCATCATGGGGAAGTGTTAAGAACGGGAGTCCTGCAAGGGACAATCGGGCAAGTGTGATGGGAAGTCCTATTGCGAATGGGAATGGAGGACTGATCCTTGATGCCAGAGGGTCAGCAGGAGTTCAGCCCATGATTCTGTCCGGCAAACCAGATGGCGTTCCATTATCCATCCTTCCCGATGGGTCAATGATAACCAGGGCATCATCCGCTTTCGTGCTGAATTCCCAGTGGAGGGAGAAATTGTTACACAAAGAGGCATCAGCCATTCGATGGAGTTTTGACAACTTGATCGACGGAGGAAAGGGAAGGAAGGCATGGCAGCAAGCACAGCATGCAATACCGCATAATCCTCGTGCTGCTGCCAACAGTGATATGAGTGGCGTCAAGACACAGAAGAGAGGCAAAAGCCTCAATAGCATCAGCAGTTCAATCCCGTCCCCACAGGGCTTTGGCATAAGCAAGCAAAATATCACATGGGCAGGTCATTATCCCACTTAAGCAAGACTTAAGCCTATAGTAAGAGGTTACATACTAGAGTTAACAAGTGTGTTAAAAGTCAATCATTTTACATCTCTTAAGTGTTTGAAATTTGATTACAATGTAGAAATCTTGCCCTCGTGTACAGTTTCGCCTGTGCTTGGTGGCTGCACTTCGCTCTTTATCAGTGATCCTCAAGTTGTCAATTCAATCCCTCCTCTATTGTTGTTCTCTGAATCTGTGTCAGAGTTTGTGCAGTGGTGTATACTATGCATTCACAGTATGCAAGGACTAAGGCCGACCATGCTAATCCCATCTCCACATCGGAGTTTGTGTAGTGTATGCTGTACATGGATGCCTTTCTCAAAGGTTACTGCCAATGACGCTAATTGGCAAAATCGGTCTCTCTCTCTCTCTCTCTCTCTCTCTCTCTCTCTCTCTCTCTCTCTCTCTCTCTCTCTCTCTCTCTCTCTCTCTCTCTCTCTCGTTTAGTTGAATCTCCCTCTCATCCATGCATCTCTTCCTCTTCGACTCGTTCTCGTTGTGCAGTTTCCTTTCTACCCCTCCGTGTCCAT